ATAGCTGTGAATTTTCCTGCTTCTTTGTCCACACTGGACCTAGATGAAAAGGAGCTATGTACTGGGTGCAGTGCTATGTATCCGTCATCACAGCTACATGTAAGGCTGAGGTTCCAGGCCAGCCTGGAGACTCTACCTCAGCAAGGAAGCTACATGCAGTGCCAAACACCTACCATCTCAACCACAATGGAAAGTGTAAAATCAGAGGATCATAGTCCAAGCATAGGCTTAGGCAAAATGCAAGATCTGATCTCACTTTTAACTAATTTTAACTAGTACAAAAAAAAAAAAAGGCTAGAGGCAGGTCTCAGAGATAAAGTATCTACCTAGCAAACATGAGGCCCTGTGTCCAAATCCCAGAACCAAGAAGAGGAGGAAAAAGAAGAACCACCACCACCCCCAGCAAAGATAAAAAATGACACAAACTATCCAACAGTGGTAGGAAGGGAAACTGAGCAAGAAGAAACTATACTGAGACTGAAAAATGTTAAATATTAAAAGAAACAGCTGCCCTTAATCATAGGTATAAAAATGATCTCATCCTAATCCCAACCCCTGAACTGGTTAAGTGGCCTGGCAAGAGGGAATAAGGTTGTAGATGAAACCAAAACGCAAACCATCTGCCCTGAGAAAGCAGCCTGGGGAAACCAGGGTCGAATGCTGTCCGACAGGTCCTCTCAAGTGGAAGGAGAAGGAGGGAGGGGGAGACACAGAAATATGGCAGCCTAAGGGTAGTTCAGCCAGTGTGGCTGGCTTTGAAATCAGAGGAAGGAGCCACCAGCAACAGCAGCATGATCATAAATCAGTACTGTTCTCCAGCTGAATCTGTGGTTACTGTTGCACAAGTGACAGGAAACAAATACATCCAGTGTCTCTCCACACTCTCTGACATCCAGCCCCTGGTCCTAGCAGATGGCTCAGATGACCCAGAGAGGCCCATTTCTCCTCTGGGAGAGAGCATCATTGCTCCACTCTCCCCTCACACACTCTTCCCTAAAAGAAGTCTGACTTAAAAGATGGGTAAATATGGTTAAATAGGCATGCCTTTTTCCTCAGACACAATCTGCTTTTCCCAGGAGGCCCTCCACACCTGGGAGAAACCATCCAGGTCTAGCTTTGAGCCCACCAGACTTCTTGACTTGCCCCTGTATTCACCTCTTTTTATCACAAAGATACTATATCTAACCACAGTCTTCCTGATACTATTTGTTTTAATTTGTTTAGAATTCAGTAGTTGGGGAAAATGCTACGTAAATGGAAACCATTCCCCTAAACAAAAAAAGCCACCAACTACCTTCATGTATTAAAAGAAATTAATACATTTAGTATGGTGCCCAGAAAGCACAGGATAAGTGGTAAAAGAAGGAGGAGTTAGGAAGAGAAGAAGTAAAAACGATGATAAGATACTGTTTGACCAAAATAAAAGTTAAACACTGTTAAACACTGCTGTTTACTGCTCACCTGATCATGGCTAGGAGGGACTGTGGAAGCATTTTACCTCCCCCTCTTCCTAGAAGGCTTATGTCATCCCTAGAGGTTTAATAATGGGTCCAAGGCCACAGTGGCTATGAAGAACAGAGCAGTGTGTCACTCTAGATTGTTAGGCTCAGAGCCAATGTGTCATACCCCTAAGTGCCCTGCATACAGCAGATTCTTAGTAAATACTGGATGATTCATGCAGAGGTCACAGAAGACCTCTGGAAGTAATCTTTTTTTTTTTTTTGGTCTGGTCGTGGGGCCTGAACTCTGGGCCTGGGCGCTGTCCCTCAGCTCTTCAGCTCAAGGCTAGCACTCTACCACTTGAGCTACAGCGCCACTTCTGGCTTTTTGCTTTTTGCTTATGTGGTGCTGAGGAATTGAACCCAGGGCCTCATGCATGCAAGGCAAGTGCTCTACCGCTGAGCCACCTTCCCAGCACCTGGAAGTAATCATTTTAAGCCAACAAGATACACTGAGCTGGGAGAATGCTTGGAGATCATCTATTCAGTGGCCAAGTTTTACAGTCAGGAATACTGAGGACACTGAGAGAAAACAATGAACCCAGGGTCAACCAGTGAGTAAGGACAGAATGAAGACCAAATTGGTACTGGAGAAGTCAGGCCTCCTGGCTCTGAGACATTCCTTTCCATGTGATATGGGTCACTCTCCTGTATCCCTGTCTGCAGTAACAATGTGCTCACCAATACTGGGTTTGATATTCTTTCCTTTCCCAGTACAACCAATTCTAGCACTGGATGGCAAGGCAAGGAAAGCTCTCTGAGTTAAGTGGACCATAACAGGGGAGTCACACTAAGGTGCTATAGAAGCAATGAGTTCCAGCCACTGGGGGCTCATGCTGAGCAGTCACAGGCCAAGCCTGGAGGGATCTGTACTGACATCATTCATCATGTGTTCACCACACGCTGCAGCAGGGTTCAAACGCCTGCTCTGACTCCTACCAGATGCATGACCTGGACAGATAAAGTACTCCCAAGAGAGTTTTCTCATTTGTTAAATGGGGATTATGACTGTATTTCCCTCATTAAACTTTTATGCAAATTAAAATAATAAACTTACATAGAATGTAAACCAGTGTTTATACAAAATAGACCAATATCCAAAGTTCAGTCACCTTTAGAGTACCACTGTTGTTAAAATAGTAGTATTAAGTATTCACTGAGTGCACTGTGTGAGCACAAGGAATATAATAAAAATTCCAGCTTTCATAAAGTTTGTAATCTATTGTGGAGGAGACCATAATAGACAAGTAAATGAATGGAAGAATCTTAGAAGATGCAAGGTGCCACGGAAATAATAAAACAGGATGGAGGTGAAAATACAGGAGTAGAGTCACATCATGATTTTGTCATGATGCATCAGGAGCAAGACATTCACAGCAAGGGGTCAGGCCATTCTCCAAGAACATGCCAGACATGTTAGATGACAGAAACTAGAAAGGCCAGTAAAAAGAGTTAAGACCTAAAACAACTAAATAACTCAGAAGGCAGGAGGAAGAAGACTAGCTCCACTAAGGTAATGACTATAAAATCATAGGAACAGGAAGGAAGGAAGGAAAGAAGGAAGGAAGGAAGGAAGAAGAGGGAGGGAGGGAGGGAGGGAGGGAGGGAGGGAGGGAGGAAAAAGACCCATAAAAACACTGGAGAGCTCAGAGACAAAGCCTGTCTGTAGACCTCAGTGAAAAGTGAAGGTGGCTTCACAAATCAATCAGGAAAGAAAAGGCCATGTATAGAACACAGTGCTAGAAAATTCATCTTACTATGAAGAGAAAAAATGAAAGTACATTTTTTCATCCCAACAAATACACAAGCTTAAATACATAACAGAAAAGCTCAATACTACAATGTGAATAGAAAAAAATGTAGGAGAAGCTTACTAAAATCTAAAATCAAGAAGGAATTTAATAAAGGAGACTTTAAAGTATAAATCATGTGCCAAGCAAGGGGTTAGTTATGATAGAATTAAGGATTCCTGTTCAACAAAGGACATGATGAATAAAGTTATTAGACAAGTAACTGAATAAGAGGTAATATTTTAAGTCTAAAGGTAATAAGAGATTAATATCTACTGAAAAGAAATTAAATCCTCTTTAAGGGAGCTAACATTAACCAAAGCCAGTATAATAATTTACATGTAATGTAATTCAATTAAATTAAAATACAGAAATGCAAAGAAACAGGGCAAAAATGATCAAACTCAAAAGAAAAATAGATACTAGTAAGGCATAGTGGCTCACATCTGTAATCTCACCTGCTTGGGAAAAAAAGTCAGTAGAATCAGTTTGAGGCCAGCCCAGGCAAAAAGTTAGTAAGACCCCCATCTCAACAAACAAGCTAGACTAGGTCTTAGAAGTTGGGAGTTCAGAGGATCACAGCGCAAGGTCAGCTTGGGCAAAAAGTTCTGGCAATTTCATCTCAACCAATGACTGGTATGGTAGTACATGCCTGTTATCCCAGGTACTAGGGAAGCAGAACAGCTAGGTATACTGGCATGTATCAGTCATCCTAGCAATGTAAGGAAGCACCAATAAGAGGATCAAAGTCCAAGCTGGCCTGGCCTAGGCATGAAGAAAATGTGACCCTGTATCAGCAAATAATCAACACAAGCCAGGCACTAGTGGCTCTCACTTATAATCCTAACTACTCAGGAGGATGAAATGTGAGGATCAAAGTTCAAGGCCAGCCAGAGCATAAAAATCCATGAGACTCTTATCTCCAAATAACCAGCAAAAAGCTGGAAGTAAAGGTATTCCTCAAGTGGTAGAACACCAGCCTTGGGCACAAACGCTCAAGGATAGTGCCCTGGCCCTAAGTTCAAGCCCCAGGATCAACACAACAAAGAGTAGAAGAGAGGGGGAGACAGAGGGGAGGGGAGTATAACAATCTTACACTAACTCTTCAAGAGAAGGGAAACCGAATGGCCACTTCCCTCATCATTAGGTAGTCTCAAGAGGGAGGAATCTCTCAGCCAGCTTCCTTCATGAACTTACTCATCAAAATCCCACATAATCAAATGTAATGACAGGTTAAAAAAAAGATACCCTAGCCAACCAGGGGTGCACAATTAGTAGAACATCAATATCCATACAGGAATCATACAGTCCTACTGCAAGAGAATAAGAGTGGGAACAGGGCAAAAAAATGTCAGCAAGGAGGCTGGTGGGAGTCAATTCCTGACTGTACCTAAAAACAAGGAAACACCTTGTGTACAGAGCCAGACTGAGTGGCTGCAGCCTGGCTGATTGCAGCAACTCTTTGGGGGCCAGCCGTCTATCAAAGCCTTCTTTCACCGAGGGGAAGAAGTAGAAGAGATTGGATATATCTTGTAGCCCCTGGAGGTATGACCTCTGACTCCATTCTCCTCTAACTGATCACCACCACCCACCCAGCCCACTTCACAGGCTGACAATGGGAGACTGAGGAGTCCCAGAGACCCCCTGGAGGCCGTAAGGGACTGAGCAGCATGCACTCTGGAAAGTCACTATCTTTGCTCAGCAAGCTCACCTGAGAGGAAGAGCCTGGCTGTCCTGCTGCTTGAAGGTTCTTTCCAGTAGCTCCTGGGTGGTCTTTGAATTCCCACCAGATAAGTGCATCTTCCAGGGTACCTCTGCAGGACCATCTTCTACTGAGCTGTCCTCTGAAGGACCCCTCAGCTTGAGTCTGTCCTGTAGGGGCTGCTCTTGTCTGCTGGGGGTAATTTCCAGCTTCTCCATGATGGGTTTGCTCTGCTGGCCTGGGGGGCTCCTGGAGGCAGAACTGCTGCTGGAAGCCAGTACCCCCTGAGAGCCTGCACAGGCGGGGGCAAGGGCAGAAATCTTGTGTACCAATGGCCTCTCCTCCTCTGTGGGCTGGGTCTTGACGTTTGAGGGTGGAAATCGCCTCAGAGAGCGTTTGCGCAAAGAGTCCTGAGGGGCAACCACAGAGGCAATGAGGGTCCCACCTACTGGAGTTGGAATAAATACATCTATTTCCCCCATCTCCCTTCCCCAGAGGGGCCTGCTCCCTCTCCAACCCCTTCTTTTAACATCTTGCCAGTCCTGGGAGGTATCACTCAATGCTACCACCATGGAAAATATAGACTCCAGAGTCCATAGCCCTCCTTACACCATTACTACAAGGGCTTCAGCTGGAGGTGGATGGAGTAGCAGCCATGACTTCCCACAGGTTAGACATGAACGGAGAGCCATCACCTCCCACAGATTGGAGATGGACAGGATGGCAACATGTCCTATGGGTTGGAGGTGGATAGAGTGGCAGGCATAACCTCCCTTGGGTTGGAGGTAGACAGAATAGTAGCCATCACTTCCCTCCAGTTACAGATAAGTTGGCTGGAGAGGGATGGAGTGGTGGTCATCACCTCCCACAGGCTGGAGGTGGATTGGGGGTGGATAGGGCGGTGGCTATCACCTCCCAAAGGTTGCAGGTAGGTGGAATGCAGCGCTTTATCAGAGCAGGCATCACAGGAGTTGGCAAACCTTTACTGTTCCCGATCCCCAGTAACACTCAATCTCAGGCCCCTCTAGATGGTGAATCAGTAAAGGAAAAGACCACCCTGGGGTCACACTCAAGATCTGATTGGTTTTGGGGGCTGGGGATGTGGCTTAGTGGTAGAGTCTTGCCTAGCATGCATGAAGCCCTGGGTTCGATTCCTCAGTACCACATAAACAGAAAAAGCCAGAAGTGGTACTGTGGCTCAAGTGGTAGAGTACTAGCCTTGAGCAAAAAAAGCTCAGAGACAGTGCCCAGGACCTGAGTTCAAGCCCCAGGACTAGAAAAAAAAAAAGATTTCATTGATTTTTTTGAAATAAAAGAATCAGGTGAAATTGCCTTCCTCCTGTCTGTGACTAACTAGGGGTATCAGTGCTCCTCTTACTCATCTCTGGGGGTGGGACAGTAATGGAAGTGAAGGACAAAAATAAACCTACTAGGCATTTCCTTGGTTTAGGTTTTTTTCTAGACCTCTCAGCGTTTCCAAAAACCAGAAATAATTCAGTGTCAAATGGTCAAATGTAGATTCTGGTGTAATGGAATCTGTAAACACGCTCCCAAAGTTGCCAGGGCATCCCTACAGAGTCAGGAAGGTATTAGTCACCATCCCCAAGGAGCCCTGACACCTCACCCTCAATCACAAAGCTGTCCTAGTAGTGGAAATGATGACATGCCTAACCCACTTTGGCTCTTTTCTCCTGGGCAACCAACAAATGTGGCCAAAGCACCAAAGAGCTTCCAGAAAATCCAGGGAAAATCCAGCTTCACATCTTTTGATGCCCTTCATAGGATTCAGGTTTCCTGGGAAACCTTGCCTCCCAAAACAGTTACCAAAAGCAGAAGCTGTCGGCCACACCCTGAGCAGTACAGTGGGTCCAGGTTACCCATACCACTGCAGGAACAAAGTACACATACTGAAGAATTAAATGTCACAACAGACAGGACCTGGTGTTCACTGGCCCACCAGTTCTCAAGGTGTGGCCCACTCACCCCTGAGGTTCCCCATAACCTTTTTGGGAACTCAAAACTATTTTGGTTGTCATTGTTACTACAGTCATTGCTTTTTTTAATTTTTTTTTTTTTTTGTCAGTCGTGGGGCTTGAACTCTGAGCCTGGGTGCTATCCCTGTACTCTTCAGCTCAAGGTGAGCGCTCTACCGCTTAAGCCACAGCACCACTTCCGGTTCTCTAGTGGTTTATTAGAGATAAGAATCTCACGGGGTTTCCTGCACGGGCTGGCTTTGAACCGTGATCCTCAGATCTCAACCTCCTGAGTAACTAGGATTACAGGAGTGAGTCACAGGCGCTCAGCAGTCATTGCTATGTTTGTGGATATGATTCTAATGCATCCCCCAGGGCCTGGTTCCCAGTGTGCAGGTGCTGAGAAAAGCCCAGCACAAGGAAGATAGGTCCACAGGCAGCAACTGCAGAAAGAAGTGGTACAGGTCTAGATTCATTATTGCAAGAAAGAATTTTTATACAAGGAAACCTGAATTCCTGATCCACATACATTCCCATCTCGTTCACAAGCTCTCTTGTCCTGATGCCATCCAGCAGGCTACAAGGCAACCAGAAGCCCCTCATAGAAGCTAAGCAGATGGGGCCATTCAAGCATGGCTTCTCAATCTTTAAATGTGAAGAAGCAAAAAGAAAGAGAGAAAGAGGAAGGAAGGAAGGAAGGAAGGAAGGAAGGAAGGAGGCTGAGATCTGAGGATCTCGGTTCAAAGCCAGCCCGGGCAGGAAATTCCGTGAGGCTCTTATCTTCAATGAACCACTAGAAAACCAGAAGTAGCTCTGTGGCTCAAGGGGTAGAGTGCTCGCCTTGAGCTGAAGAGCACAAGGACAGCACCCAAGCCCAGAGTTCAAGCCCCACGACCGACAAGAAAGAAAGAAAGAAAGAAAGAAAGAAAGAAAGAAAGAAAGAAAGAAAGAAAGAAAGACCTTCTGGCTGGAAATAAGGCTTAGTGGTAGAGTGCTTGCCTAGCATGCATGAAGGTTCGATTCCTCAGTATCACATACACAGAAAATGCCAGAAGTGGCACTGTGGCTCAAGTGGTACAATGCTAGCCTTCGGCAAAAAAGCTCAAGGGCAGAGCCCAGGCTCTGAGTTCAAGCCCCAGGACTAGCCAAAAACAAAAACAAAAACCTCTTTTCTTTTATCCAGAGTCAGGCATTTGGTTATGGTTATGGCAATAGAAAACTTATTCAGACAGTAATAACACAACCTCTTTGCCTCCATGATGTTGTCTGCATATACACAACAGTGGGAAAATGCTGGCCTGCATCAAAAATCAGGGTGGCAGTACCAAATGTCATGTGGGTTCTAGTTATTCCTCAGCCCCATGCACTGGCAATAAAAGGGAATAAATAAAATGCTAATTTCACTTGAGAAAATCCATACTTAAGCATGAATGCTATGAACTTCATTCAGTCTGGTCAGAGCTGCAATCATCTCTTCTATAATGGTCTGCTAAGTATAAAGGACTACAGTCAGAACTTCTGCAACTGTCTGCACAGTAAGTGCAGTTGCTGCTATTTTCATTCAACTACCCAGAGATGAACCACCAAGATTGACAGGGGTATGGGGCAGGCATTTCATGAAAATAAATTGCACTTGTCACACCAAGGGAAACATATGGTATACTGTTGTCAGTGGTAAGACACAAACTGCTGAGTAAAAATCAGAATCTTGGGAAAACCTATCTGCCAATGTTGGCTTTAAAGTACTTAAAAACTTTTCTGAGATGCTGGGTAGTGACACCAACAAACATGATATAGATACAGTGAAATGTATCCATATCTGGACAATCCACACAACTCAGTAACCAACATTATCCAAATGACCAAGGCAACGTATTAGGAAATCATGCCAGGATAAAGGCTTCAAGGGCAAGTGGACCAATGGAAACTGATGTATTACAAAAAGCTGATTTACATGGCTTAAGTTTCTACTGAGATTTGAGTATCACAGTTTGAAGCCAACTTGGGCAGGAAAGTTTCTAAGACTCTTACATCTAATTAACCATCAGAAAGTCAGAAGTATAGCTGTGGCTCAAGTGGTAGAATGCTTGCCTGGGGCAAAAAAGCTCCAGGACCAGGAAAAAAAATTAAGAACTATAATTTGTCTAGTTTATTTGTATGAATGAAAAAAGAACAATGAAATCTGCTGAAATAGTTTTAGGAAGAGGGAGGGGATATGAGAGAGTAACAGGGTAAGATCAATTGGAATATATTATTTACACATGTGAAGATATCACAATGAAACTTCCCTTGTACAACTAATATATACTAAAATAAAAATAAAAGTCAGGTGCTAGTGAGCCATACCTGTAATCTACTCAGGAGCCTGAGATCTGAATATCATGGTTCAAAGCCAGCCCAGACAGGAAAGCCTATGACACTTTTATCTCCAATTAACTACCAAAAAGCCAGAAGTGGAGCTATAACTGTAAGTAGAGTGCTAGCCTTGAGCAAAAAAGCCCAAAGACAGCACCCAGCCCTGAATTCAAGCTCCAGGACAGGCCCAAAAATAAAACCTAAAAGGGAAAGGAAAGTCAAAAAAAAAAAAAAAAACCACACTACAATTTGTCTATTTGGGGGCATTATCAAAAGTGAATAACACCAATTTTCTGAAAAAACTAGACTATTTTTTCCTTTATTTTTGGACAAATTTTCTTCAACTAAAACAGCATAATGCAACAAACTCATTTTTGCAGCAGCAAAAACAAGTCCAGACATTAAAGAGATTTTTAATATGCAAAACAGTGTTACTGATCATCTCATTTTTTTGTTTTGAAAAATAGTTTTTTGTTTTTGTTTTTGGGTCCGGTCATAGGGCCTGCACTCTGGGCCTGGGTGCTGTCCCTCAGCTCTTCAGCTCAAAGCTAGCACTCTACCACTTGAGCCACAGCACCACTTCCAGCTTTCTTTATGCTTACGTGGTGCTGAGGAATCGAACCCAGGGCCTAGAGCATGCAAGGCAAGCGCTCTACCACTGAGCCACCTTCCCAGCCCTGTTTTGAAAAATAGTTTTCCCCATTAAAATTTTGTTACTTTTAAATGAAGTAATTTATATTTTGAATAATTTAGTAGGTAAATATCTTCTTATCTTAGTCTTTTAATTTCTAATAGTAAATGTCATCATCCAACCAATACAACACCAGTTTCTGGGCTCTCTTTATTTAGGACAAATAAAGAGATCCTGAGACTAAAGCATCTAAAAGTTACTGATACAGTCTGAATTCTCACCCAGACAAGCAGTGATGGGACATCACTTAGCACATGACCCTACCCTACTCCCAGCCTGCTCCAGCATGGAGGGGCCAATAGCCACTGGCAGATTAGCAAGGGACATCAAGCTTCTATTAGCATGTGACTCTACCCTACTCCTAGCCTGCTCCAGAGCAAGGGAGCACAGAGCCACAAGCAGCTTCTGCCATCACGGGGCCAGCTGGCTTTCAGGAGTCTAAAAAGCAATCCCACAACACTCAGTCTAGCAAAGGCCAGCAGTACGAATTGCGTGCTCCCTACGACATTAATGGGTCCTCACTCACAGGAGCTCACGGATTCAACCCTCAATGACAAGATTTTTGCTCACATGCCACTCATCCATCAATGGAAAGTCATTACTCAAGGTGCCTGGGATATTCTGAAGTCATACCAAGGCTTCATAAGAAAAAAGTGTACTGAGATCCACTAATAATGTCTTTCACAAGCGCAGCATCACAGAGGGGCAGTTTGAAAGCCACACATTTGCTATCCTGGGACTGGGACATTCCCTACCTCTATGTGTGAAAAAGCTCTTACATTCTACCCCTAAGACTTCTCTGTACAAGATTAAACATCTCAAAGCTTAGAATTTTCTCCAGACACTTCATCTTCCCAGCCTATTTCCTGTGGACTTTGTCTAGTATGTGATGCCCTTCTTCAACAAGACACCTAAGGTAAGACGTGGCATCGCAGTGTGGCCTGAACCACAGGGGAGGCAAACTCTCCTGCCCTTCATCTAACCCCACCCAGGCCAGAAAGGATCTCACATAACTGCCTTGCAAAAAGAGACAACAGCCAAGAGAAATGAGAACTCTGAGCCCAGATCCCACAGGATTCAGCAGGGGCAGGGAGAGGGCCTATGTGAATCAGGAGAAGACCCCACAGGATTCAGCAGGGGCAAGGAGAGGACCCCACAGGATCAGGCAGAGGCAAGGAGAGGGTCTATATAAATCAGAAGATCCCACAGGATCAGGCAGAGGCAAGGGAAGACCCACAGGATGGGAAAAAACAGGGAGAGGGCCTATGTGAATCAGGAGACGATCCCAAGGATCAGGCAGAAATAGGGAGAGGGTGAATGTGAATCAGAAACCCCCACAGGATTGATCAGAGACAGGAAGAGGGCCTATGTAAATCAGGAGAAGTTCCCACAGGATCAGGCAAAGGCGGGGAGAGGGTCTACTTGAGTCAGGAGAAGATTCCACAGGATCAGGAAGGGATAGGGAGAGGGCTGCCATAAACATTCACATTCAAACATACAGCTAGATGAGTCTGAGGGAGACGAAACAGACAACTGCCACAGCTCTGCTTACTCTTCCAGAATGGCTGGTGCTAGTTCTGCTCTGCTTCTCTGCTCTTTCTTTTGTGAACTCCTTTCACACTCACATCCTTACTCAGTAAAGTCCCCACCTAATAAGACCAAACTATGGCCCTTCCCCAAAGGAGGCCATAAAAAAATGATGTAAAATTTTTGGAATATTTTTGAAAGAGAAAAAACAAAAGTAAGCCCATGAAACTCAAAGGACAGGATTTTTGTTCGTGTGTGTGTGTGTGTGTGTGTGTGTGTGTGTGTGTGATTTGGAATATTTTTTGAAAGAGAAAAAACAAAAGTAAGCCCATGAAACTCAAAGGACAGGATTTTTGTTCGTGTGTGTGTGTGTGTGTGTGTGTGTGTGTGTGTAAACAAAAGTAAGCCCATGAAACTCAAAGAACAGGATTTTTGTTCGTGTGTGTGTGTGTGTGTGTGTGTGTGTGTGTGTGTGTGTGTGTGTACACGTGGGCACTGATCCTCGGGCCTGAACTCAAGGCCTGGGCACTATTGTGGCTCTACTACTTGAGCCACAGCTCCACTTCTAGATTTTTGTTATTAATTGGAGATAAGAGTCTGGGACTTTTCCTGCCTGGGCTAGTTTGAACTATAATCCTCAGATCTCAGACCTATCTGAGTACCTAGGATTACAGGTGTCAGTCACCAGCTTCTGCTCCCCTTTTTAAATGGTATAGTTTAAAAAAAAATGTCCTCTAGACAGACAAGTCCTCCACTCTTCAACTATAGAGAGACAGGTAAAAATGGGTGCTTCATTCAAAATCACAGCATCCACTTAACTGACAAGATGGGTAAACTAAGGGCAGGGAAGAGATTAAGAGATGAGGCTTGCCTAAGGACCTGTGGGGTCACTGCTGGAAGATCCAGGGAAATAGAAGCATGCATTCTCTCTACCCCCACCCAGATTCCCCACTTGGGGGCTGTGAGGCCCCTACAAATACAAGTGGTCCCCCAAGCCCAGTCTAAAGACAGCAGAAACAGCAGCCCACCTGTGGGGAGTTGGCCATGGGCCCAGCCATCATGCCTCGGACAATCAGGCCAGCCTTCGGCCTGGTCTTCTCCCCTGGCTTCTTCCCATCCATGGCAGGCTCTGGTGAAGGAAGCTGGACCATCTTCTCCCACATAGAAGTCAAGGAGGGGCTTCCACCTGGGCCTGTGGACGTGGCATTCTCTCTGTGTATGGGCCTTTTGTATGACACAGAATTACTGAGCACATCCCCATCATGACTGTCATGTCTGCAAAGGAATGTTTCTGTTAGATAGTGTCAGTCCACTGACTCAATCAGCAACAATGATAGCAAACTCCACCTTTAACTGTCATTCACAATAGGCCGATTTATAACTAAATAATGGTTCCTAACTAGTTAGTGCACTACAAAAGGTAAAAAATAGAAAATACTTTGGTCTCAGAGTAAGTCCAGCCTAGGAAATAAGACCAGCAAATAAAATAAGACAATGGTCATGCTCGCATCCTTCAATGCCTTGGGACTTAAAAGCATCCTTGGTCTCCCACACGAGTGACCATGGAAAACACACCACTGACAGCAGTGGAGAAAACTTATATCAAGCTTGGTACTCCCCAGCTTTTCACAGCAGAGAGAAAAAGAGAAAGGGGAGAGGAGAGAGGAGAGAGGAGAGAGAAGAGAGAAGGGAAAGCACATTGGAAAGAGAGGGGAGAGAGAAAAGAGAGAGGTAGCACATGGGAAAGGGAGAGAAGACAATGTATGAGAAGAATAATAAAGAGAGAGAGGGCAAAAGACTGAGCCCAGGAGACAAAGCAAGAGAAATTAGGAGAAAGGAACCCACTGGGGATAGCTCAGAAGTCAGCACTCCTCTGACTGGCAGATCAGTGTGGCTGTGGGCTACCCCTGGCCTCTAGCATACCTGAGTACTGATACCTCTCCACTACACTGCCTATCAAGCCCCAAGGCACACAGAAGGGCAGCGGTCTCATTTACTGTGATTGGGACAGATTGTGTAGAGAAAAATGCTCAGGCCAGCCTAGGAAAATCCAGAAGGTTCTCTAGCCAAGGCTTTCTTGAATCAAGAAACTGAGTAGGCACAGAACCACAGGAGTGCCCCAGGCCTGCACATAGACTATGAAGCAAATGTGCTTGAGTGAGCAATAAGGGCTTGTAACAGACAAGGTTTTGTAAGTTATCCTTGGGAATTCATGTTTTCTCCTAAAAGCAGCAGGAACTGTCTGCTGCCCTTTCAGCAAGGGCCAGCCTGACCTGATTTGTGTTATACCAAGTTCAGAGTCTCACGTCAAATTAACTAGAGGCCTGGGGACAGTACCCACAGAAGCGGTGCAGGGGGGACAATGGGGTAAACCAAGACCCTTGCCATCAGGACAGGAGGAGGGAGAGGTTGTCTGTCTAGTGTCATTAGGGAAAAATAGCTGATAGGTTTATTAAGATGTCATCCATTGTAAGCCATGAAGCCTTTGTATGTGCTGATGGTTGTGCTCCTCTGGAACGTGCTCCCTGACAGGTCCACAAGGTGTACAGTGCTTTATCATAGCATCAACAGGAAGCTGACCCCAGATTAAAATGGGAAGAGCTGACACCTGGCTTTGCTTGCTTCTGAATGTGACATTCTCCATCCTATGTCTTCATCCTCCAGGTCATATATGTTTACAAGTGTGCTCTCTGAGCATCTTAGTGGCAATCTGTTGTTCTTCTTTGGAACTGCGAGTGCAGGAATTTGAGTTTCTTGAGTTGGATTGCTATCTGAGCGATCCAGAAAGTATCTGGTTATGAGTTCAAGGCTTGTTTTTAGGGGATTTTCCTTTGCCTATTATTGAGAAAAGGAAAAAAATCATTAATTGTATGAGTCAGGGGGAGGGTGAAAAGTTCTTTGACATAAACTGCCTAACTTCTCACTCATGTTTTCACATTTCCATGTTTTCAGCAAACACATATTGGTTTGTATATATGCCAGGCACTGTGTTGGGTAGCAATAAAGACAAAACCCTTACCCCTAGAAGATCTATCAACCAATGCACTAGTCACACAACTCAACAATAATAGGAAACTATGAGAACAGAGGAATGCCAGAGCAAATCTCATCTGCTTTCCCCCCCCAACCCTCAAGAATAACTTTATAAGACAGATGCTATTGACTGTAATCCTAGATATTCAGGAGGCTGAGATCTGTGGATCACAATTCAAAGCCAGCCCAGACAGAAAAGTCCATGACACTCTTATCTCCAATTAACCACCCCAAAACCAGAAGCGGAGCTATGGCTCAAAGGGGTTAAGTATTAGCTTTGAGCAAAAGAGCTCAGGGACAGAACCCAGCCCTGAGTTCAAACTCCATGACTGACCAAAAATACAAAAGAATGAAACTTCAATCAATATAAACCCCAATCAACTACAGATTCATAAGCTCTTGGGACCTGCATATTTTCTTAGTCAGTAAGTTCTACATTTAATTTTTAACACTAGCAATTAGAGACAACTGGATCAGAAGGTTAGTATGGAAAGCATGGACAGGTGGTCAGACCTACCTCAGTTTCTACTCCCACCTTAATTTTTAAAAAACAAATGAAATTCTTCAGTAGCAGGACTAAATGATACCCACATTCTCTAACCTTTCCTGTGCTGTTCTCTTCAGAAGTTTTTAAAACTCCCAAGGACACGGACTCAGCCAGAGCAGCAAGAATCAGAACCTAGATTTCTCCTAAAATACCAAGTAATTTGAACAGACATAGCTATGCAAGTGACAATCCACAGGCTGACTTTGGGCTCCTGGCCATGTCAGTGTCAGTTCTTGTAAGGTCCACTCCTAGATGGCGAGTGGACTCCACCCTCCTCATAGCCAAGTCTCCACCCAGTACCTGCATTATCTAGGCAACTGGCACACCTGGAAGCGGTCATATCCACAAGCGCTGAGGTCACATCTGGATTCGATGTGGCCACACCTTTCTCACAGCTGGTACCCCCTCCTTATACCTGGCCACACCTTCCCCCCCCCTTACCCTAGATAAGGCATGGCCAGAGGTCAGATGCTCTTTCCCAGCCAAGTAGAGTGCCAATCTGGCCTAGTACCAGCTGAAACAATGAATAAACCGAACAATGAATAAACCTACACCTTACCTGAATACCACGTGCATGGTGTGGTTCTTACACAGCAGCCTCTTTAAAAATCTAACAGTTCTTAACCCATTTGCCTGGAAACAGTGAGGCCCTGATGAGCTGTGGGCGGACATGTGCCATGTGGTGATGTTGCCGCAGAACCACAATGTCTGACAAGAACTTAGTGAAGACCTGGCCTTGCCACACCTGCCATTGTTATTCCTCAGCTCTGGGCTGCAGAACAATCTGAGCAAGACCCAAAAGACAGTGCAGGAGGACCAAATTCAACAATTGTGTCAGACAGTTAAAATCAGGTGTTCTTGTTGTTGTTTAGTACAAGACTAAGAAAAATGTTTGCCTAAGTCTAAACAAAGCTTAGACTGAAGAGAATTAAGGGAAAGATGTCATTTATTTCTACCTTCTTAATTTTTCTCTCAATAAGACAGAATTGGGACCCCAATTGTCAGGATTGTAACTTAGGATTTCACATCATTTGACATAAAGAGACATAGATAGCTTTCATAGGAGTCTAGACATTTTTCAAAACCTCAATTTTCAGCTAGGCATTTTAACCTACTGTATACCTATAAGGAAATTATATAGGCATTTTAATCTACTGTATACCTATAAGGGAAAACAAGTTACCGGAAACATTAAGCGTAAATTACAAGGTTTTCCTAGAATCATGATAGTGTTGGGCTGAATGGATTTCAAAATTATCATAAAATAGATAAGACTAATAAGCACATTTTTCTGTAAAATATAGGCTCCAATTCGTTGTATCAGAGCTAATTTACTGCAACTTCAATCAAGTAATCAAAGCACTTATTAAATCTAGTGGAAGTATCTTGTGTTTCTTAAGAGAATGGCTACTTAGGGAAACCACAGTCAGGGAGGAAATAAAAATAACATGAATGGCAAAGAAACTTCTGAAAATTAGGCAAATGTATAGTTTACATTCCAATGTACCCAAATAGTCTCATTCCTACATAAAATCTTCCTAAAATGAGCAGCCCGCCCCTCTTCTGCCTCAGAACTGAGCCCCTAGAGAGGGCAGACTAGCTGCTGCTAAACCTGCAGTCTTCCTCTTCCAGGGTGGCACACAGGAGTGCATCCAGAGGACAAGGATGTCAGCCCAGCCCCAGAGGAAGTTTCTAATATGTGATAGCTCCACGAATCCTCTGGCACAACTACTATAGCCTCTATGTCTTCAGAGGGGAGCACAGGAATGTCTAAGATTTACACAGTTGTTTGAAATCCCACTTTATTCATGGTGAAACACCTGGCTTCAGGTCCTCCCTGATATATGCTTAGAGATCTGCAAGTGACCAAAGGTTCCTCTGCATGTATAACAATAGCTTTGGCACAATGCCTATGTGCCTCTGACCAGAAAAAAATATAAATCTATTGAAAGGAGCTTTAAGAAATGGAAACGAGGTTTTTTTTCCTCCTTGTTTTTGTTTTCTTTTTGTCTTATTTGTTCATTTGTCTGTCTTTGGAAGGTAAGGGGTTGCAGAAATGGTGGGACAAAGAGTAAACAAATGCAGCAATGATACGCACTACACACTATGTCGAAAATGAACTATACAAATTGTGGGTAGAGATGGGAGGGAAAAACTGAGAGAAAGCAAGGGTAGGGATGACATTGTCCAAAAAGAAATGTACTCTTTACCTGACTTACATAACTGTAACTTCTCCTACATCACCTTTATAATAACAATTTAAAAATTAAAAAGAAAGCAGCGTAGACCTCACCCCCTACCAGTCCAATCTGTCAAGACTTTGTTTGAAAATAATAAGCCTGGGGGCTGGGAAGGTGGCTCAGTTGTAGAGCACTTGCCTTACATGCATGAGGCTCTAGGTTCCATTCCTTAGCACCACATAAGCAGAAAAAAAAAAAAAAAAGCTGGAAGTGGTGCTGGGCTCAAGTGGTAGAGCGCTAGCCTTGAGCTGAAGAGCTGAGGGACAGCGCCCAGGCCCAGAGTTCAGGCCCCACGACCGGACCAAAATAAAATAAAAACAATAAAAATAATAAGCCTGACCACCAGTACAGTGATAGAACTGAGATCAGAACCTCTGGCTATGAGGGATAGAACAGCCACTTTTCTCTCCACACACCCCCCCACTCCAGTACGGGGAACCCCATACAGTAGCTTCAAAGCTAGTCCCCTGAGCTCTAAGGGTCCAGCCCAGAAGGCCAAGGCAGGACCTCTCCCCCCCACTTCTAACAGCATGGTGTCCTACTTTGCATACTGGATTTCCACCTGGGATAAACTTACAGTAGATGCAGAACTACATGATCAATTGCCAGTTTTTTCCTGGCTCTGACAATATACCCATCCCTAGGCAGGCTTTGCTGGAGAACTTATTTTTTAATCCAACGAAGGCTCTATCTTCCAACCAGAAAGGACAATCAAGTCAGAATTGTAGCTACATTCATGTACTCACTCACCTGCTAATCATTAATTCATTCTACAAGTATTTATTGGCTTCTCACTATATCACCAGACAATGTGTTAAATATGGGGGCATAAGAATGAAAAAAGAGAATCTCTGCCTTCTGCTAAATCCAAGGCCATGGGGGAGGCAGACACTGAGCAACCACAGAAATACTCTTGGGCTCTTGTGACAAACGAGAGTGCTACAGGCTCACCAAAGCAGTCACAGTGGGGCAGGTAAGAGAGGCCCTCCAGTAGAGGAAGTGCAGTCCATCTGCTTTCTCAGCTCCTGCTTCTCTGAGTTATGTCACCAAACCCTTAAGACCGAGCCATCACTCAGACCAAGGAGAGGAGGGCATATGCATCAGGGGATGAAAATTTGCAGTATAAGTGAATGCTATATTCTTATTAAAATACCCTTGTTGTGGGAAGGAGCACAAGGGATGACTGTCAGAGGCTGGGCTCAAAGTAAACATAAAGACAACTAACACCACAGTCTGCTTCTCTCTCTGCAGGCAGGGCTGGCCAGGAGTCCCCCAAGCTGTGCCATAGCTGGCAGAGCCCTGAATGCTTTGGCAGGATCAGACTTGGTGGCACTATTCACACCACATCTTAAAGCACACACCTTGTTTTCCCTGTATAGAAATTCGAGATGCAAAACCTTACGGAGGTCTTGTCTGCTGTTTATGCTGAGGTCAGAGCGTGGGCGTTCCTGGTCCATGGTCACACACGTCTTCTTTAAGCCCTGAGGGAAGAGGTCTGAGTCACAGTTTGCCATTTTAAATCAAAACCTTCCATTCTCTGACGCATTATAAACCAAAGTCTGCTGGTATTCATTATAATCGGCCTCTTCTGGCCTTCCTTACAAGGGTATGCAAGGATCAAACAGATTTTTTTCATTTTCACATAACCTTTATACTCAATGTCATTTTTGCAACTATTATTCGGATCTTACAGTGTCCTAGTGAGGTCAGCCAAGGCTGTCAACTCACTTTAGACAAGGAATAAAATGCAGGACCCCCATGACAGCCAGTCCTTGGTCCCACACAGCTCCATTAATCTCTATCTACTCAACCACTGGCCCTGAACCAACTATGTGCCAGCTCTATTCTGGTTGTACAAATGCAGCAGGAATAAGAGCTAATACTCTGTTGGGGAAGAGACCCTAAGTCTGCAGTATGGAAACAAAACAGGAAAGAAGATTGGGAGATGAGGGGCAAAGGTCTCCATAGGGAGATGAGGGGCACTGGTCTCCAAGGGTTTCAGTATGCAAATATCATGGAAAGTCATTTTGTGGTCACTTCTGTCTTCTAGTTTCTGCCTCTGAATCTTAAAGAATGAACCACCAGTGAACTATTCAAGCTACTGGAGGTCAGGATCAGGTCAAAATCTACCCTCATACAGCATACATTTGAGGGAGAAAGACAGTAGTCTAATATGCTATGAAAACACCTACATGTTAGGGTAAGGAGATGAGGGGGCAGGAGAGGGTGTGGGGAAGGGTTTCTACTTTAGAGAAGGTGTAGTGACAATGAAAGGAGATATAAAAGGTGAGAGGGAGCAGCCATTCAGACATGTAGAGGAACAGTGTTCCAAGCAAGGAACAACAACTGCAAGAACATGAAGAGGCTCAACAGCCAGTGTGTCTAGAGCCTCAGAGCCAGGGACAACTTCCAGAGCCATGGAAAGGCCATGGTGGCTTTTGTGAAATGGAAAGGGTCACAAGACAATGTAAGGATGTGGTAACTTTTTTTTTTTAATTGCTTGGATGCTAGGTAGAAATAGATGGAGGAGGCAGGCGGCTAAGTAGAAAACAACAACAGCAATACACATTGAAGAAGGGTGGTCTAGACCACAGCATCTGTGGCATAAGCAGTAAGAAGTGGCTTCATTCTCCACATGCTAGATGGTAAAGCCATCAGACTAGCTGACAGGCTGGATGGGAGAAGTACAAGAGACTAGCCCTTACCCATGGGGCCAAGCATGCACTCTAGGGGATGTCAGACTGAACTGAACACTCACCCAGCAAGTATCCAAAACCTTAGAGACATGGCTTGTTTTACATAGGCAGCTATTTGTGGATCATTAAGGAAGGATCTCTAGACAAATAGAGACAGGCTAATAATTGAAATGTTTACTAGACATCCAAGTAAAAATGTTACAGATATAGAAGGAAAGAATCTGAGCTCAAGAAGTCAATTAGAGATGGGCATTTGAGAATTGTCAGCACACAGGTGGTACTGGAACTCATTGCACTGGGTGAGATGCCTCAAGAACAAATGAGAGAAGAGGGAAACAGGCTGGCCTTTGGGCCCTGCCACATGCACAGGTCAGGGGAGGCAGGGGTAACTAGGAAGGACCCCTAGAAAGGTCCACCTGAGAGAAGGAAAGAAAGCTCTGAGGAGACAAGAGGAATCAACTGTGGCAAACACAACCATTATATCAGAAGGAAAAGGAGTAAAAATGAGAGGTCAGTGATGACTTTGACAAGAGCAGTCTCTGTGGGCAGGGGAAAAAAAATCTGATTGAAACAAGTCTCAGAAAGTGAGACCAGTGTTAGAATGAGAGTACACACAGCTCTTCCATGAGGTTTTCTTACAAAAGGGAAAAGACTAGTGGCTGTATGGGTCTGAGATAATGTTAGCACATGTTTTGACTGTAGGAATGCAGTATGTCCTAATACTAGGCGAGGAGAAAGATGTCCAGCGAAAGCTGTGAGGATGGTAATGGGCCATGCCTCAGGGCCTGAACAATGGGGAAAGCACCCACAGGGGGTTTATGGTGTCCAGGGATCCATCCCCAGGAGCACGAGGGAAGATGCTGCTTATTTTCTCCATGAAATTATGAGAAAGAGCTCTGGGGTTTGAAAGAAAATATTAGGAATGTTAATCCAGCACTAGAGAGGTATAACCAGGTAGACAGCCTTCCCCAGAACACCACAGGGGGAGTGGTGGTAGATGTAAAGCTATGCATCAACATGGATCTCATCCAGCTGTGCAGGTGCAGGCAGATCAGAGGACTAAGCTAGAAAGAGAGCAGGATGGTGGAGCTCCTGTAGAGCACACATTCTATGATGGGAGGGATGCTACATGTGGAAGGGACTACAGGAAGGCAGGGGCAGGGTGGCTACACAAAGTTGGCAGGAACACAGGACTCAAGATGCAGAGCAAGCTGAAGGATAGTTTGTGTAGGGGCAAAGAGGGGGATAAGCCAGAAACGACAACAGGTGGGGTGCTTGAAGCTGGTCTGATGGAAAAGACGCTGCTGGTGACAAGCCCAAGGTATGACTACAAGACAGGGTGACAGACATCAGATAGAGGACAAGTTAATGGGAGTGGAACGACACACACGAGGAGGCTGAGGCACCAGATGAGTCAATTCATGGATCCTATTCACCAGAAGACCATCATTGATGTCCTCTTGAGTTCAAGAAGCTACATGTAGGCAAAGGGTCAAGGCAATGTGGACCAACTGGAAGATGAGTTCCAACCGATAGATGGCTCACAAAAAGCCTTGTAGTCTAATGATGGTGAAAAGGAAAAGAGGACTATGTTGTGTCTATGTCTGTAACCAGATCTATGTAACCCAGGCTCATGATCCTCTAGCCGCAGCTTCCAGAGCACTGAGATTGCGGCATACACCACTATACCCAGCCATTTAAGGGTTTTGTCTGGACAAATTTCTTAGCCTCCTAGTCTCATGAAAGGGAGAGGTATAAGTATAGATCTGTTAGAAAGAGTTGGAAGCCAGGCACTGATGGCTCATGCCTGTAATCCTAGCTATGCAGAAGGATGAGATCTGAGGATTGCAGTTCAAAGTCAGTCCAGGCACAAAAGTCTGTGACTCTCATCTCCAATAAACCACTCAAAAAACTGGAAGTGGCATTGTGGCTCAAGTGGTAGAGTGCTAGCCTTGAGCTGAAGAGCTGAGGGACAGCACCCAAGCCCAGAGTTCAAGCCCCACGACCGACCAAAAAAAAGAAAAAGAAAGAAAAAACAAAGAGTTGGATAAGTGAATAGGTATCTAGGGTGAGAATTCTTGTGGTTATGACTGTGCAAAGTGATGTGAGGAACATAGGGTCTCTGCTAGAGCAGAGGCCATAAGAATAGACTCCACATAGAGCTTCCCTATGAACCAGCAATCCCACTTTTGGGCATTTACCCAAATGATCACAAACAAGACCATACTAAAGCTACCAGCACAGCTATGTTTATTGCAGCATTATTTACCATAGCTAAGATATGGAACCAACTCAGATGCCTCTCAGCAGATGAATGAATCAAAAAAATTTGGTGTATATATACACAATGGAATTCTATGCTTCCATCAGAAAGAATGACATTGCCCCATTTGTTAGGAAATGTTAAGACTTGGAAAAAATTATATTAAGTGAAGTAAGCCAGGCCCAAAGAAACCCAAATGGTTTCTCTTATTTGCAGTAACTAGTATATGTCTGAGACAAGCAGAAAAGGTCAGATATGTTGATTTTAGGTGAAATGAACCCCACGAAAAGTATTCAAATTTTTTTTCTTTCATGCGATTGTTTCTAACATATTGATGATTTCTTTGTTGCTTTGTATGTCCCTCCCCCACAGTAGAACCCCTGTTTTCACTGTATTTGGTGTTGGTATAATTTGTGGAGGGGAAGGGCAAAAGCAAATCATTTAAATAGGGATACAGGTGGACTCATTGCAACAATGAGATGTACAAGTCCTTATGTCGAAAAATGAACTTTACAATTTTGGTGAGGGGGGAAAGGGGGAATGGGAAGGGATAGGAAGGGGAAACAAAGGAGGAGGCAACAATGCTTGATAAGAAATGTACTCATTATCTTGCCCATGTAATTGTAACTCCTCTGTACAGTATTTTCATAATAATAATAATAAAAGAATAGCAGTCACGGCTCTTGTGATTTTCTGAGTGGTTGGGGACAAGTCCTTAATGACATTCAGGCACAGGTCAGGTGGCTACAAAATCTCCAAGTAGGGAAACAAAGGAGGAGGCTACAATGCTTGATAAGAAATGTACTCATTATCTTGCCCATGTAATTGTACCCCCTCTGTACAGTATTTTCACAATAAAAAATAAAATTAAAATAAAAAAATTAAAATAAGTTGTATGAGAAAAAAAAAACAAAAACAAAATCTCCAAGGATAGATGTTAGCAAAATGAGTCCCTTCCCATAGCTTAATCCACTCACTCCTTCCCTTCTCCACAGCTTAGCATACCCATTTCCTAGGCAACACCAGTCCCATATAGTAAAGGCAGTAAATAATCAACTTCCAACCCCTTTACCTTGGGATGGCACTTATCTGGGGCAGCTACCACCATAGAAGGCAACAAGAGCCCCTTAGAGTGACCTTTAGGTCTGGATAATTACAGGACCCTTATCTAGTATTGGACAGCAGCCATAAATCTAGTCTGCCATGATGAAGCCCCAGGCCCACACTGCCACACTTGGGTCTCTGCCTCCTAGCCCCTTCTAGCCCCTCCTAAACCCCCTAGATTATACAGACCACCCCTAAACCCCCTAGGTTATACAGGCCACTCTAGACAATAGCCAGTGATTCTTCTCATTCCTCCTTTGTGAGAAGGAGTCTTGCTGGCCCCCTTTCCCAGCAATAAACCTTTCTTTGTTCTCTGTACCTGGATTGTCTGTGTGGTTCTCTGGCAAGGTCTAATTAATCTTATTTAAGCTAAGAATAGATGATATACAATTCAGAGGTCCGTTTTTCAGTCCTGAGACAGATAGATTTGCTAACTACAACCTAAGTAAGGCAACTGATGAGACAAACTACTGAAATCATCTGCAAAGAAGTCTGGAAAAACTATGACTAAAGATGAATCGGGGCAGAATAGGGCAAAACATAGGAGAGAAGCCAGAATAAGAGTGGGAAGATAAACTGTAGGCACCCGTGGATTTCATCTGTGCTCCAGGAAAGAAAGACAGAAGAAAGCTCTCAGTGGGAGTTTTCTTGGTCACCAAACTTAAAATGAAATAAATTACGATAAGCACACAAAAGTACTTCCAAAAGAGATACTTGATGGGGAAGCAGGTGTAAAGCTGAATAGCATGCTAATGTACACGTTGTGTCTATGTCAGAATCATGAGTGACGTGTGCGAGCTCACTGAAAACTAGCATCGAGTATCTGAACCTTCACTAGGTTAACTTCAGTCCTTACTCTTTGCTCCATTCAAAGCAATGCATGTGTGCGTGTTGTCCACGTGCCCTGGGACCAGCTGAATGTATCACAAGGACACCCAGAACCGGCCAGTATCCTTAGCTCCCGGTCACTTGGTGCAAAGCCCAAACTCCATGCCGGTGACCCCAGTTCCCGCTCCCCTTTTCCTGAAGTGAGGGCTCAGGTCCTCCACTTGCAATCACTCCCAAAACCCCCTGGGGACAAGACAACCGCAAGACGTACAAAAATCTCTTCCAAGAATCCATGCATTGGCGGGAATCCCCTGAGCTAAAAGCCTGAACCCTTTGTGCGTGGAGAACTTTGGGGCGCCCCGGAAGCACTCCGGTGGGTCTGCCGGGGGTGACCCCGCTGGCCTGCGAAGCCCCTCGCCCCGCGGAGCCCGCCCGGAACCCCCGGCCCCGCCCCTCAAACTGCGAGGCCGCTCGGGATTCCCGCCCGCCAGCGGGACATCTAGCCCGGAGCCGAGACCCGGGAGATTGGGCTCGTCGGGCTATCGGAAGTGTCGGCCGTAACGGAAGTGAATCCGAGAAACGAGTCCCATCGGAAACGTGGCCCCCGGAAGGTTTAGTTCCCCCAGGGATCAGGCCCTGCGGCCCCCAGCGGCGGCCAGGCTGCTCCTCCCCGAAGGCCCTGGTGCGAGGCCCAGCCGGTCCTTACCTTCCTGCTGAGGAACTCCCTCACCAGCGAGGCGGCCACCTCCTCCACGAAAAGGCCGTCCATGCTGTGCGGCCGGTCTGCAAGCCACGCTGGACGGGGACCCCGGCCTCTGAGTCGGTTGCGCTCAATATGGCCGCGTTGCCGTGACAACGGCAGCAGCGGCGCCGGCGATAGCCCCGCCCATATCTCCGGCCTAGGCGGGGCTGAAGGGAGGGGCCTCCCACAGGGGGGCGCGCTGGCTCCGCCCCTTTTACGGATTTGGGCGGGGTCTATCTCAGGCAGATGCACTGGCTCCGACCCCTTCCAGGGCCTAGGCGGGGCTGGAGTGAGAGACCTCCCGCAGGCAGGGAGGCTGGGACCTCCTCTTTCCAGGAGCAGGAAAGGTGGGGCCTCGGGGACAAGGCTGGCTTTGCCCCTTTCCCGGGCCGGAGCTTGAGGGAGGGGCCTCCTGCGGGGAACAGAGAGGAAGGGGCCTCTCTCAGGCGGCCTAGCTGGCTCCGCCCCTTTCCGGGGAGGGCGGGGCCCCGGCGGGGGAGGGGCATGGCTCCGCCCCATAGGGGCGGGACGGTGAGGGAGGAGCCTCCCGCTGGTGGGCGGACTGACGCTAGTGGGCGTTGCTCCTGCTTCAGGCCCTTGCCCTTGGGGAGCTGAGTGGCAATCTAGGCCACACTTAGCACAGCAGCCTGTAGACGCCTGACCCCTTACCCCGGGTGCTCGCACCCCGCTTCCTAAAGGCTGAAGATAAGGGCCAAGACCCTCTGCCCCTTGGTGCCTTGAGCACCAAGAGCTAGCTGTACACACATGGCCCTGAGATTGCTTCAGACCGGCAGGTCCTGCAGCTGTCAGGCAGGTCCTGTAGCAGGCAGTCAGCTAGGACTACAGGACCAAACGGATCCCATCTAGTGGTATCTTCCCCACACTTGCTCACCTGCCCCCTCTGCACTCCACCAGCTGCCAGCCAACGAAGTTATTGTCTCTCAGATCTGGAGCCTAGAAGTCCAAGGGTAAAATGTCTGAGGAATTATTTCTTGGACCCTTGACTATGGCTCAATCTTTTTTTTTCTTTTTTCTTTTTCTATTTTGTGGGGGTTGTGGGGCTTGAACTCAGGCAAGGCTGGTCACTGTCTCTGTTTTTGCTCAAAGCTAGCACTCTACATTGAGCCATAGTTCCGCTTCCGGTTTCTGGTGGTTAGTTGGAGATAAGAGTCTCACAGAATTTCTTCCCTACCCTGGCTTACAACATGCTCTCAGCTAGTGTTACAGGCTTTCAATCTTTTCATTTTTACAAGTCTTCCCTCTACCAGTCAGAACAAGAATGTCCCTGAGTCATCTCCAATTAACCACCAAAAAGCCAAATGTGGAGCTGTGGCTTAAGTGAGAGAGCTCCAGTCTTGAGCAAAAGGAGCTAAAGAACAGCACCCAGGACCCCGAGTTCAAGCCCCAGTATTGGTACACACACACACACAGTCTTCCATAGATTCTTGTCCTACTTACCTCCTCTTATAGGGCACTAGCAGGGCTCAACCAAAATGACCACTGTCTCCAGTATAGTCAGAATCTGACATATGAGAGACAGATCTGAACATGTGAATCTAGGGGCCCCAACTCAGCCCATATAGCCATACTATTACTTGTATATCATTTTCTTCAAACTGATATGCGCATTAATAAATACTTTTTTGAAGAAAAGGATTCCCAAACAATAATTGCCCATATGAAATCAGAAGTTTACTAAATGTTTACTAAATCTCTGTCAGAGAGGTGGGCCTAAAGGGGCAGCACTGATCAACAAGCCTTGTACACATAAACTGACATGTGGAACTGAAACCCCATTGCGCAACTACTTAAAGATAGTAAGTCAATGATTTTTTTTTTTTTTGGTTGGTCATGGGGCTTGACCTCTGGGGATTGGGCGCTATCCCTGTGCTCTTCAGCTCAAGGTGAGCTCTCTACCGCTTGAGCCACAGCACCACTTCCAGTTTTCTGGTGGTTAATTGGAGAGAAGAGTCTCACGGACTTTTCTGCCCCAGCTGGCTTTGAACAGTGATCCTCAGATGTCAGCCTTCTCAGTAGCTAGGATTACAGGTATGAGCCACTGATGCCCAGCAAAGTCAATGAGTTTTTTAAAGAATTTCATATGGCATGCTTGCGCAGTATCTACAAAATACAACTTCATGGCACACACTGACCCCAAACCAGATTCAGCCAAGATGGACTCTGATCTCACTGGCCACCATCTCAGGAATTCAGGGCAACATCCTCATGCTGAATCTTAGCCAGAGGGATCTAAGTGAAGATCCCTGAGCAAGGAGGATCTAAATGAAGATTCCTCAATATGCATCTTCCTGCAAAGTTAAAAGGAACTTAAAGCAAGAAACTAAAATTTGTGAGAAAATAGAGCTTTAGTAAAATGAATAATAAAACAAATTTTTAAATAAACAAAAAAGCAAGGAAAGAAACTGGCTGGATTCGGGAGACAAGTGGCAGGGGAGACGCCCACAGGAGGATGGATATAATCAATTAATAGTGTTCTTGATTAGGGCATTTCTTTCATAAGCCTTGTTGAATTGTTTCTATTTACTGTAGGTAATAGAACATGGCTTGCAGGAACAATGACAGCAATGTATCATGATCAGGGAACATGCTTACTTAATTCTGCACATTAAGATACAAAAGGAGGAGGGGGGACCAAGATGGCGACGGGGCAGTAGGGAAACGCCACAGCTCTCTCCAACCAAAAAGAGAGTTCGAGTTCCAACGCTTAATCTCCCCAAGAGACCGACAACAACAA